ACCTCGTGGTCAGTCTTTTTCGGTGGAAAAATACTTGCCAAAGCAAAAAAAAATACAGCTATTCTACGCACACTTTATATCAATTATTCCTTTTGCAAAAGTAAAATAAAGATGCCTATTTACTGTTCTATTTGAAGCCTATTCGCAAACTCGAGATATTTGAAAGAACGACGTATAAGATGTGAATAAATTTGTTTTAAACGACGTGAATGTTTATTGTAAACCATTTACGAAAATCCTTTAACATTTTTGGATATTAACTGACATGGAGTCCACTCCTTAAAAACAAATGCAAATGCTCTGCATCGTGGTTTTGACAAGAGAAGTATTAAATGCAGGTGTGAATCAGAAGCCAGATATTTTTTTTCAAATAACAAAAAAAACATGGTTTTCAGGTGGCATGAAAAACAAAATAGTTTTTGCACATGGAAGCACTTTTTTAAGTAGGGGAGAAGTGTATCTGGGTGCGTTGGGAAGAGTTGCGTCAAAGGAACTTGTCTTCAGGGGCCACACAAAGAGCCTTCTGCCCTCTAACCCGAGCTTAATGGAGGGAGGAGACCAAAGGTCATTAGCCTGCCCTTTAGCCTACACCAGTCCCCACGAGGTGGCCCCACGGGAGGAAAGGATTACGTATTGGTATTGCTTTACTTGACGGAGGACGACTTGGCCCACACACGCGCACACACGCTCGCTCGCTCGCTCTTTCAGTGACCAACCGGCGGATCCTGGCACAATGCTGTAAACACGAGAGGGAAGGGAACACTCATGGGTACCCCCACCCCCTCCCACAACAACAGTGTACACACGCAGACTAGATTTGAAATCCACATCGCGTACGTAAACACCGCATTGCATATACAAAGGCCGAAGTACTTCAGGAGGAGACGCTTTGTACCGAGTCAAGTGCCACGCTCCCACAAAGCTCCAGTGAAACGCGCTCGGACGCTAATAACCTCAAATTAACCCAATTTATTTTTGAAACAATAACATACAAACGGATAAATGCTTTTTTTTTAGAAGAAGGTGAAAACAATAAACAGTGTTTTGTAAACCTATTTGGACGTTTTCAGGGTTCTGTAGGGTAAAGATTGTATCCCACCTCCAGTCGTCCTATTCGTTCTATCGCTATGTTTGCAAAGTCACACTTCTAAACTAAAACTACTCTTTTTAATTTTAGCAGGTAAGGCCCGCTGAGCTGCGTGTCTCTTTTTCAGAAGCGACCCGGTCACAAATGATAGCTCAACAAAGTGGCTTATCGTGTGGAAATGTATAGCAGCCAAATACTAAAAAAAACATACGACCACTGGGAGAGCAAAACATGCAAACTCCCAAATATGCAGGCGTCAGGGTCGAGATCGAACCCGCTACCTCCTGCATACCAGGCGAGGGAGTTAACATCTCGCCACCACGGCGTCCAAGTCTCTCCATGTGTGAGAGCACGTTGAAAATGCGTAATGACAGAAAGTTGAGTTAGACATAAACCAATCACCGTTAAAAAAATATAATTAAACCCATCATGACTGCACAAACGAAATGGAGCAAATTAAATTGTGCACAATATTCAAAACCTAGTAATGGAAATATTGCTATTTTTATTATACTCCATATTGAAAAAATATTCCACTGACACATGGATGTATGCCAAGTGGGGAGTCTGCACTTACCCAATGCTACACAAATGCGGAATGCGTGCATCATTGGGCCTTATTTGTCCAACTAAATGGACAAACGAACAAGGCAACCTTTGCCGGACAGCTTGGGACATTTATCTTGCTACTCTTAGGATCGCTTATGAGTTGCTTTCGTTTAAGCTGTTGGAGCCTTTGGCATTTCTACTGGATCGTAATTAAAAAAAAAAAGTGTGTGGACTCGTGTGACTTAGGCAACTTGCGGTGACCCACAGTTCCTAAATACTCTGGAAAGGTGTTTATTTTCACAATTTTGCTCAAATAATGTTTATTAGTAGTTCTATTTGCGTGCCCGTGCCGTAGTGCATGCATTGTCTCACACATTGTGCACAATGCGATATCGCGCATCAGTAACTTTTATCTTTTGCATAGTATTTAGTTAAGATGGCATTATTTTTACTATGTTTACTCGAGAAAACCTCTCCGAGTCTCATGGCTTTTTTTTAAGAGGGTCCTGCCAATTTGCTGCAGATTCACGTGAAGTCATTTTCGGGAGAGTCTTCAAACGTGGCCCTTTAGCGTTCACTGTTGAGGCAGATGGTATTTGTGTGGTCAATATACACCCACATGCTGGTGTTAACAATACACTGGGTGTTGATAAACCCGGCGCTATTCATCAGGGCAACTGCTCGTGTTCAAACCGGGAATTTCTTCAACAAGCGGCAGACGCACCCATCACTAGGCTGCGTCACCGAATAGGAATTGTTAAATTATAATTGTATGCACGTCAGTACAGCGCTTTAAATGTGGACATTATGCAGAGATCAAGAAGATAGGGTTACTGACAAATAGATATAATCCCCAAATTAATAAATACGTATCTCTATGCGGTAACTGAATGTGAAACATATGTATGTAAATATAATTGGACTGAACATCGGATGCACAGTTTGTCACCGAGGTAAGTGCTGGCATGTTCTTCCAAAAGACAATTGCAATGATGGCTGGAAAACACTAAATCTGTTCATCTTGAGAGAGAGAGATTGAAGATGCTTAACCAATTAGCAATCTCTTTAAAGAAGTATAGCGATTATATTTCGTCATAAAGCTAGCACTGGTTCGACATTGCTTTTGCAAAAGCTTGCTCCGTAGTCGCCGAGAAGCCGTCAGAGGATTTTAAGTTTTGATTATTTCATTGTCGGCACAGGAAAAAGGCAATGCCGGAGTAAGCTAGTGTGGGGCCTGTAGCATATGTTATAAAGGGCCCTAAATTTATTTATTTTTAAACTAGCATAGTAAAGTAATTGTATGTTTTCACTTGCTATACAGCCAGATAATAGACAAATCGCTAACCTTAAACACCCAGTCGTTTATAAAAGTTGAAGGCAGTGTAGTACTATATTAATAGAGCAAGTGCAGAATCACTGAACCGAAATTGATAGCTTGAGAGCATTTAGCGCGAGGCCCTTGAAAGTGCGGGATCAGTAGCTACATGTGTAGCTACTTTTGCTGCTAGGCTAATCCGACACTGCGTAGAGGGGGTATCTTTTGGGGCTTTGAGGCACGGTTGAGGAGGAAATTGCATGTTTCTAAGGCCTCGTCCATTCTCCTTCTGAACCAACCCTCTTCTAAACAAACACAGCACTAAATGCAAGGCGAGGTCAGAGATCAAAACTTCTGAACTTTCTCCAGTTTGTCTTGACGGAGTTGAAGTGACATCAGAATGTAGGTTCAGCATCACTCTACCACAGGAGACGTTGCTTGTTGTTTCCACCCCCTCCCCCTTCTTTTCCTGCCGCACTTTTTCTCGCTGTATCGCTTTCTCTATCTCCAAGTACATCTATCTTTCCACGATACATTCCGCTGATATGTACAAAAAATTAAACCAGTGTTTTCCGTAACTTTCAAGTGGTCGTATTGTTATACATTCACCCCCTATATTTTGGTATTTAAATTTCTCGCCGTGTTTATTTTTGCATGTTTCTGCATTCGTTTCATCAACATTCTTTCATCCTGTATTCCGTGTCTACCCTCCCAGTCCTCCAGTGGGCCCGAGTTTGGTAACATTACTGCGGTAGGTTTTACGTGGCAATGCCCTATAGCCAGGACCAGATGAACCCGCATGTGAATAGGGCCTGAGGCCACCATATTTTGTAGGCACTCCTTGAGGCTCTGCATTTCATCTTGCAGCAACAGCTGAGTGATGGCAGCGGTCCATCGGAATTTTTGGGGGGGTTTTGAATTATGATGACATCATTCGTGACTTTCCCTACAGCAAAATGAAAATCCAGGAATGTTTTCGTTCGTTTTATGAAATGAGCGTAGTTAGTGTTTTATGTTTGGTAAATGTACCTCGAGTCCGAATACCATTTTAAATGTTTACTTGAATCCGTCCCTGCCTATAACTCTCCGACGTTCGGGTCCTAGCGCGTGTTGTTCGGTACGATGTCCAACGTTTTGCCCCACGTGCTGGGACAGATTGATACTGTGACTTGGACAAGCTTTTCCCTCACCAATGCTGGGGAGACAAAAGGGAGGGCCGGCCTGGAAAATCCTTACCAAGTACTTGGACCATCTAATTCTTCCCTACACAAATACACAGTAGGACATGTCCACCATACTTTAGTTCCCGTTACTTAGTCCATGCAGTTATGGATTCGCAACACACACGCGCGCACGAACAAAAACCACCGCGGAAACAAACACACGCACACAAACTGTAACACGCGCATCATTCGCAAATAAGACGAATACTTTCAGCGATTTGCTAAAGCCAAATAAACTTTTACACCATTGGAACCTCATTTGCCAGTAAAAAATATAATAGTTTTTTTACCCTTCTATCTGGCAACAAAACTGACACCTTTTTTTACAAGGAGTCATGTTTGCATAGACCACAATACCTGCAGTCATAATGCAAACAAAAAACATAACTCTGATCATGTATGCACTGTCCTTGAAGTTGATTGGTCCACACCCGAGACAGCTTTCCTTAGAGCCGAGTCTCACATGGGTTGGACCAGATGACGCCAAAAGGCGCACAACTCAAACACAATGCACCATCAGAGTATGAGAGCTCGGGGTAAGCATTTAAACCATTGGAACCTCATTTGCCAGTAAAAAATATGATAATTGGTTTTTTACCCTTCTATCTGGCAACAAAACTGACACCTTTTTTTTACAAGGATTATGACTGCAGGTATTGTGGTCTATGCAAACATGACTCCTTGTAAACAAAGGTGCCAGTTTTGTTGCCAGATAGAAGGGTAAAAAACCAATTACCAAATAAACTTGTCTGCTCGACACAACTTGAGGCAGAGATGACGAAGCTTCCGCCTCTGAATAATGAACAAAGAGGAAGAATGCGGTGTGCACGTTACATCACAGTTTATTATTGTTGTTTTAATTTGCCAATTACAGGGGCAAGAGATTATACGTGGGTAATATGTAGTTTGAGAATAACATCACAGACTTAATAACACATCGGCCTTTGCATTAATAATATACGCTATGCACAGATTCCAATTTCTTATTAAAAGGAAAAAAAAACTAACCTTGAATAGCGAACAACATATAAAAGGTTATACACACCACACGCATTTCTTTCAAGTGGATGATTTATTATATTTCCTCTTTAAGTAAATTAGTAATTGTAATGTTTATCATGTTATGTTTAACTCTTACATACATAACAGTGATAAAAACACAGACCCACATATGCCTATTGTCTTCTAAGTGATACAATTATTATCGTTATTATTATTTCTACATATATTTAAATATATGCTAAATGGAAAAGTGATGAAACACTGCTCTTTTTTTTGTCGGTGTTGCCGATTGGTTTGTTTCTGTTCTGTGTCGTTTGATTTGGGACCGAGTAACTCGTAACTGATGTATTGATGAACGGTCATAACGTTTTGCCGACTAAACTGTTGACCCATAATGCCATTGACGATGACGATGACGATGATTTCCTTGCGCGACTAACAAACACAGACACACGATATGATGAAGTCGGGGGTGGGTGGATGGAGTGAGAGGGCATTTTGCAAACTCCACTTGAAAGCTTGGGCTAGCCAGCTGTGCATCTCCCGTGCACAAACACAAGACAAAGTCATGCCATCGCTACCCACACACACAAGACTCCCCACACCACCGGGCGGCGCAAAGCATCTCGATACTAATCTACAAGGAAACGGGTTTTAGCCTTTAAATGTAATACGAGACGTAAACTAAAGATTTTGCTGCACATCAACGATTTAACAACAAGAAAAATAACAAAGGGAAACAAAACAAATATTTTGATCAAGGCCAGCAGCAGCAGCTCAAGCAAGGTCAACACAGCAGCTTCTGTATGAGAAAAACTTTATACATTAGCACTGTCTTGCTTTTTTTATTTATTTAACCGTATAAATTAACACAGTGAGTTTTGTCGTAATAGTAGTAATAAATATACAGTATTATGTACATCTATGCAGTGGGTTGTGTATAAATAATGACCAAAGTCACGACAGAAGAGAGAGCGTTGTAAAAAAACTCATCAATATTTTTTTTAAAAACAACAGAGGCAGCTACAGTACAGTAGATCTGTTGGCATCGTGTGTCCAGCGAATGTTCATGACGTTTTTACCAAATGGAGTATAGCAGCGGAATAAGTCCATTCCCACTGTGAAAACCTATGAAATATCAACTCACGTGGTTTGAAATGGCACGTACAAATCTGCGTAAAAAAAAAATATAACATGTATTTTGTTTTATCGACTTTACAAAATAAATTTATACAATTTAGCGAGATTTATCCGAATTGTTATGAAATGTCTTTTCCGAGGTCTGTGGAAGTTCATAATTAGCAGCAGCCATGTTCAATCCACTGCTGGACGAAGGCATATTTACATGAGCGTAACATGTTCATGTCACCGGCAAAACCAAATTTGATTAAGATGGGACAGAGTGGGAAAATATAACATTTTACGAGTGCCAAAATTGGCCCCATGTACTTATGGATGAGGGGCATGCATCAAAGCAGAATACGGCGGTAACCGAGCCAGAGATATTTCCTGGTTAGTTCCTACAACCGAACAAATTCGTTTGCGACCATTTAGATATTTGCACGCTTCTCAGTGGGAAAGGACTTTGAGGATAAAACAAACCAAACCTGTTGAATTGTAAAAGTGGCTGATGATCCAATGATGTTCATCGATCGTTGGCAAGCAAAAAAATATACAAAAACAGGTACAAAATTATCTCGCAGCAGCAGGATCGGTGAGTCCATGATGGAGAGGTATATGTTTTGTTGTTTTTGACGGAAGATTACTGTTATTACCCATGCACATCAGAATCTAAGTAAACGTCACGACTGATTTATTTTTTGTAGGGAGATATTGAGACGCACGTCGTCGAGGAGAATGGAGAGAGAGAGAGGAGAGGTTTTGTTGGAAGCAGTCCAAGCTCGCATCCACCCAAAAAATATTTTTTTCTTGAAAAAAAAATTGTTTTGTTCTTTTGTAGCAGCAAAAACAAAGTGACCCGGAGCTTGTGCTTATGCTGTGCAAACTCCGAGCTCACCAGGGAAAAAATAACAAGTCTACGATAAAAACAAAACATAACAGGAAAACAATTTTTACAACCACTTACTCACTCACACACTCAAAACGGTATTCTTTTTATGTGTCTCTCGGCAAATACTGACCCCCCTTTTTTTCTTTTAACTTGAATGATGAAGTGAACAGGCCACCCACGGGATTAGAGACTGCTCTTAATAGGAAAAGGGAATTGCTGTTGCCCCCGCCCCCGTCCCCCGCCTGTAACTTTTGCTGATATGTCGTATGTCGGTTGGTGAGTTGCGTGATGGTGTCGGTTACTGCCATCACACGTTCACTACATCAGCAATACATACAAAACACAGCGTACATGAAGTAATACGATATTTGTGTGTAAAAAAAAAAAGATAAAAAAAATATACGTAACAAACAAACCAAAAAAAATACTTCAAAACATAGTGATGAGGTCATTCAGGTTACATCCCCGTTCACGGTTTTTGTACCGAGAATGTAAACCGGCGGTGTGGCAGTGATGCAACCCCGCCAAAGTGTTCCAACGGATATGGGCAGAGCTGAATGTCGCACCTCGTGGGGCAATCCATTTTGCTACGGGGCCTGTTCAGCTAAAAAATAAGTCAAAAATGAACGCAAAGAGCAGGAGGAAGTGACAAGCAGCAGCAGCAACTTCGTTATCGTTTGGTTCTTCAATTTATTTTTTTAAACTTGTATTTAAGAACTTGCATCTTGGAATCCCTGCCTCACTTGATACAGCAAATTCAGCTGTGACCGTCCCACCTGATGACGGAGACTTGTGTTCCCTCCGAAATGTCGTGATTTTTATTATTTTATTTTTATTAATTTTAATTTCATTTTTAACCTACGTGACTTTACCGAAAAAACTGAAAGTATTCTTCAATTTTGTCTGCCACGTTTGTGGGGCGGACCGTAACAGACGGTAGCTCGAGTACAAAGATAAGCAGGTGCTCGTAGTTTTTGAGTGTAAGTTCTCCGACAAACAAATAAATTGTCAGCGCAGGCAACTGCAATAGATCAAATTGAACGGAGGTGACGATTTTACTTTTTAGCTCAAAGAGGCCCCCACCCGACCCCCCCCCCCTCGTGAAACTAGGTTTTGTTAACGTTGTTTCAAAACAACAAAAACTCAGAGGCTCATCTCGTTTTGGCATGATAACACAAACGTAGACTTTACATGGGTGCAAAAGTGCAGGCGAAAAAAAAAGATTCTCAGAATACCGCAACTGTGCCATTTAAAAACACTCCTGTGCACAGTTATTGCACTGATAACCAGGCAAAACGATTGCCACAATTGTGCAAGCGTAGCAGCAGCAGCAGCAGACCGCTGCTGAAACATTAAGGTCTTGTGCATGGCACGCTTCTCCGTTTGCACGGTATCCTGTTTCATGGTATTTTCGCAAACAGTATTGAGACGCACGTCACAAGCATGTAAAGTCTGCTAACTGGCAAGAAAGAGAAGCAGCACACATTTGAAGGGAGTTGCAGAGAAACGATGGCTCGCAGTAATACTACAAACCTAGAAGTTGTACGACAGCATAGAAGTTCAGTACAGTTATCCCCTCGTTATTCAGAAACTTGCTCTTCGCGATTCTGGCTATCTGCTGATCGCATCTGGCACTCTGACTGCATCGAGAGAAAGTGATGAGATAATTTTCACGTATGCAATAGCTTATTTACGTGTTAACTTGGGGAAATAATAAAAAAAAGATAGGATGTCGTAGGCCAATGTCACGCGCGAAATTTGCTCTTCACGAGGATGTTTTCGCGACGTTTCCCTCGCGAATAACGAGGGAAATGCTGTAAAGGGAAACGTATCGTCTCATTTCAAATGTTTTTCTTCTCAACTAATATCACTGCTGATGGTGTTTCACTTTAAAATGGCTGCAAAAATTGGAAAATTACTTTGCTGACAAATTTGTCTGCTACTTTAAAGGTGGAGGGGTTGGGGGGACGCAGGGGGTACAGTGCCCCGCTATGCATAATGGGCAGCAAATTGTAATTTTGTTTGTTTATTTGTTGCATTAGGAATTGATATGTTTACAAAATTTCGATGAATCGCCGTAGGACCAGTCTACGCATCGATATATTGATTGATATCGCAATTTTGGTAGTAGCAATGGGAAATTGATTTTTTTTATATATTAATGTATACATTTTATGCTTTTTGTACGAAAAACGTATATATTTATATTAAATGTTATAGTTTGGAAATTTCCCCCTAGATTTCTTATTCATGTGGGGAATTCAACAGTTTTTTTTTTCTATAGGTATACATATCAGATTAAAATATTTAAGCAGCACAAATAGAAATCGAGACAACTTTAAGCACTATTGCAAATATACGCCACAGACTGGCTTTTTCCAATACACCATGCTTGCCAAAAGTTGTCCCACAGAGCAGCGTGAGTATACGATATGCATTTTTTTTCTTTCCTTCTTTTATGAACACCAACAAAAACAAAGTGAGTTGCAATGATGCTGATGCATAGGCAGGAATGCTTGCTTTGGAGGAATGGGGCAGGCTCGACAGACCGCACACTTGTGCGGGGTTCCCCCCCGCCCCCTGCCGTGTAGACGTTGTTGCTGCTCTCCGATGACTTTCTTCATGTGGCGCGTCATTCGGACACGGCGCTACGACCGTCCGACGTTTCGCTCCACGCGAGCGACCGGGAGCATCGGCGACTCGAAGAAGCTCCCGGCAACGTACAGATTTAAAATAAAAATTACAAAAAATTGAAACTCTGGGTGTCGACGATGCCCGGGCGGTCGCGCGTTTGCCACATTGTTGCACAGGTTCGCGGTTCGGATCCCAGCGGCCACCCTGATTAATACTGCGGGTGTATTGACCGAAAATAAATGCATCGTTTTCTTCGTAGGAGGACGTTAAAGATCCCTAAATTTGCCAAATGTTTAAATGTGTTGCACATCAACTAATTGGTTAAAACTGCATGGCGATATCACCTCCGACTGACTGTAAAGCAATCGCAGACTATGCTAGTCTGTGAAACAGCCTTGTGCTCCAAGAACGACGCGCCGCAAATACCAAATGTAGAAACCATTTTGATGGAATCTTCAAATTCGCCGAGGAAGCTCCAAGCACGTGGAGTGAAACGTCAGACGTGACCGCTGAACAGCACGCCACGCGCGCACGCTACAACCCGAGGAGCCACTGGAGAGCTGTAGAATGCACACTTTGTTCAAATAACAATAAAAAAAACGATGACAAATTTTGACTGAAGTCTGCGGTAAACCAATGCACGGCTTCACGGAGGTTGTGGAAGACATTGTATCGGATAGTTTGTGAGGTCATATTATTTTCAGCGTCCTTGTTCCTGAATGATATGCTCAATTGAAGGCGACTGGTGATGGAAAAATTCCTGAGTTGCTGTTTGCAACGAGGAGGCAGAGCTCATGGCGTCTGTATTTTTTTAGTTTTTTCCGTAAGTTTTTCTGTTTTTTTTCTTTGTTGTTTTTGTTTTTTTTTGTTCGTTTTTCTTAAAAGCTGTCTTTAAATAGGAAATAAAATCTGCGGAAAACAAGAACAGAAGGCGGGAGGGGGTGGGGGGTGGGAGAAAGAAAAAAAACAGGTCAATCTGATTGCATCAAAACACAACGGAGCCACGGCACGCGTCACGACACCCACCGGCACGACCTCCACCGCGACTCTCTCTCGTGTCGCGGTGTTTTTCAATGCAGCACCTAAAGCGCAAGCGGTGCACGCACTGCAATCGACGGATAAACACACGTGTGTTCAAAACAATCTCAGAAAATACAAACGAGCATTGATGCAAGTCACGTAATTCGAAAACGACACTAAAACTAAACCATTTTAATTTTACCAGATACGGTCCACTGAGCTATATCGCTCTTTTTCAGAAATGACCTGGCCACAAATGAAAGCTCAATCAAGTGGCTGACAATGTGGACGTTTACAGCAGCTAAATACTCTCTTTTCCCGTGGTCACGTGGATTTCTCTCTGGATCCTCCGTTTTTCTCTCCAGATTTAGAATCAACATCACGCGTTTTTGGCTGCAATAACTTTCCACATGGTAAGCCACTTCACTGGGCTATTTGTGGCCAGGTCGCTTCTAAAAAAGATCTATATAGCTCAGTGGAACTTACCTGGTATAATACAAAAAATAGTATATCGTTTGTATAGTTACATGTACACCGAGTTGGGTCATGATTTACATCTTCTTGGTTCTTTAGGTAAAGTCACGTAGAAGGGAAATAATAAAATAATAAAAAACATAATAAAATACAAGAACAGGGCTGTCGGAAAGACAGCGTCCGAAGTTTTTTGGATTTACATTTCAACTGCTAATATTGCCAAATGTGCAAACACACAAAGGTGTGCTCACTTGCAGCAGGGAGACACGACACGCATCATGCCTTGCACATTGCATGCTCTCAGCCTTGGTTAAGCCACCAGCCCAAAAGTGCTGGAAGTGTCATCACCACTTGCAGAAAGTGTTGGATTTCAACCACTAATACAGATGACACTCAGTTCCCAACGGTCGTGAAACTTATGATGGCCATTAGAGGGAATACACATGAAAATAAACACAACGTAAAGTTTGCTTCCGAACAGAAATAAAGGCAGGTACTGGTAATAAACTGCCATTTGTCTGATCGAAAAACATTCGGAGAAACGAGAGGATGAATAAAAAATGTATATATGTATTCTTCCAAAAAAACGTATCCTTCTCACAAACAAAATAAAAATGTTCGCTTTATGTTTTAATACGTGATGGAGTCCATCCAATTACAGTTAGAAATGGGACGCTGCTATAAACACGACGCGTGAATCGCAGCTTTAGATGCCAAGGAGTGGCTGTGAAAAACAATTCCGTTTTGGAATAGGGCTAGGTTACCCAACTTATAAAATAAAACAAATTACGGCCACTCTCAGTCCACCAATGGGTGATGGCCTCGCCACACCGCACGGGCTCATAGGGGACCCATGATCATACTTCACCATGATGCCGAGTGAGGGTTGTGCTTGGTGAACGGTGGGGGTAGCAAGACCGGTTCTGATCTCACTCGCCACTAATGCTAGCCGTGGCCTGGAGTCGAACTCGGGCTGCCGGGCTCAGAGCACAGCGCAGCGCTCTAATCGCGTACTGCAGCTCTACACCACTCGGCTTATACGCAAGCCTACATAACGGGTTGACCGAACGGAGTATAACTTATACTCAGTAACGGGAATCCAGCAATAATAGTCATACCCAGTGATAGAGAGTGTACTGATGCAAAGTGCAGAGAAAAGCTCTTACCAGCAGCAGCAGCAGTGATGCTTGGAATGCCCCCCCCCCCAACTCCACCCCACCTCCCCCCCCCACCCCCCCTGTTGTCCCCTCTATCGGAACCCTCCTCCCCCAAGGCGCGCCCGCCGCTTCTGTGCATTCTCTTTAGCGGAGGGGTCACGACAGGCGCACTCCTTCTTGCGGTCACAATTGTCTGGAAAGGTGATCACCTGCACGGATACAAAAAGGCACACCACACACACGCACACACGTACAATTGATTAACTCTTTGAGTGTAAGCCAGGCATATGCGCGTGGACAGGAAGGCAAAGATCCTCCGTGTAGCCAACAGTGGCGTGAGTGAGCACAGGGCAGGCACGGCACGGCCACATGGTCAACTCGTGTGTGGCCAGCATCGCGTCCAGCCGCCTTTGTCTCCCCAGGCTTGTAAGTGCACTGCGCTAATCACTGCCGCCGTCTCTCCCCACGGGTGTGTGCGTGCGTGCGCGCTATTGTGTGTACAAAGCAAGGATCCCGCAAATAGCCAACACAGAATCGCACTCACACCCACAGTTTGGGCACTTTGGGACAATCGGCCTTATAGATACCGCACGAGTATAATAAGGAGACATCATAGGGCACAATCACGTTTAACTTCAGCACCTCAACCTCAATACACGTGATACATCTTTTAACACTCCGCTGCCGGATACGGAGAACACCGCCTTCACACGATTCAATCGCCTGTTGGCAATCGAAGAAGATGGTCACGAGAAATGAACGGGGTGTCTAGAAACGGATCACCCTGTAAGTTTAGGATCTCGGCGACCTGCGCTCAAACGTATCGCCCGCAAGGACAGGTGTCTGAGCCTACCCCCACTCGCCTGAGACTAAACGAAAGGTCAACGCGCCTGAAATCGAGTGCCCGCTGCATTGCGTGACCCCCAGCACAAAAGGTGGGCGGTATGTGACACGGGCTTCTGCGGCCATCTTGGAACGCTCTTCCTTTCTATATTAGGAAGCCACCGGGAGCAATGAACTTTTAAATCGTCAAAACTCAGTTCTTAAAAAATACTTTTTATGTTTAGTTTGTTGTCCTTCTGGATAGGACGTTCGGCTGGGTAGGGCGCAAAAGCAGTTTAACGTACGTACATACGTGCGAACTACGCTAACCTTAAATTTCGATTGAAAGCTTTCGTGACTGCAGGGATTCATCTTCTTGGTTCTTTCGGTAAAGTCACGTAGAAGGGAAATAATAAAATAATAAAAATAAAACATAATAAAATACAATTCTCACGACGTTTCGGCCACAACGCAAGCAGCCGTCCCTCAGGTGAAGAACAGGTCTGTCGGAATGACAGGGTCTCATTCAGACGCTGTCTCATTCAGACTTCACACTAACCTTAACCGGTGTTCCCCAAAGGCACTTGCCTCGACCGTTTGCAACAATCGCATGTACAGGGGATATTTGTCTATTTGCTGCATGTGCACGCAAATTTTTATAGGTTTCTAACTGCAGGGGGGTGGGGAGGGGGGTTATCCGCAACATTTACTCCGCTAATCCGTGAAGAAACTGTGGAAAATAATAGGAAGCAACAGGGAGAAACCGAAGACGATTGTGGGTAAAAGGAAGAATATAGCCGCAGATAGCAGGCATTTTCCCCGGGACCCTACAACTTCCCACGGATAAAAGGAGCTGTGGGGGTAACCGGGACACGGATAAGAGGAGTTCTCCTGCATGAACCTACAGGCAACAACAATAAAATTTCAGGAAATTTCACCGCAGCCCTGTGGCTGCTTTTGGCAAGGAACCCAACATGAGCACCGTCGTTGCGCGCGTCACCACGTGGAATTCTTGTGAACTTTTCTATCTTCCCCTGTGTATGTAAATCTAGAGGGCTGCTGCTGTGGTGTAATGGTTAGCACACGGGACTTGCAATCCAGGGGTTGCTGATCCGATCCCTTACACCCCCCCCACCACCAGGCCCCCTTGCTGCAGTTGAAACAATGAGGCAAAATGTTGACTTAAAGCTTTCGTGACGGCAGGAAATCATATTCTTTGGGTCTTTCGGTAAAGTCACGTAGATAGGTTCAAAGACAGGTTCGTGACTTTAACAAAAGACCCGAAGAAAATTAGGCTAAGTTTCTGAAATCTCCCCCAAGCAGTACAAATGGCTGGAGCACCACGGTCAGTCGACCGGCAGTTTGCCCGCTGACGAGATCTCGCGCAGTGCTGGGGGGGAGGGCTTCCTCGACCAGTGGGCAGACCATGAGGTGTTCCAATGGTCCGCCTCTCCCACCTCTTCCAAGATGTCTGGCAGGCGTGGAAGACGAGGCAAAAATACCCTCAGAGAAAGAAGCCCTGCGGAGCTCCGTCGAGCAGGGCTGCGACATCGCGTTTGCCAGCGGTAAATCTGCACTCGCCCAAAATTCGAAATTCCGGCACCACTTTGTGTAAGTGATGAGAAACCCATGGCAAGAGGAAAATGTGCGCAGACTCGAAACGAATTGATTTAACAGTGCACGAAGGTGCTCTCACAAAGGCGCTGCTTGTGAGCAACACCCATGTGTGTTGTTAAATGGTATTTGTCCACCCAAATTTTGTTGTGCGACTTGAGCGATTGTCGTTTTGTCATCTTTCCCACAGAGCCTCCTCCTGTCTCAAAGCATTCCGAGTGAGGTGGTGTACATTTTGTTACATCAACATCTGAGTTTTTTACCCAACCTTGCCAAGTCCATAGACATAATAGAGCACGGTTAACGAGCAAATAAAGATTAAAAAAAAGTCAGGAGTGTTTGAGCCTTTGTGCGCGGCTTTCGCATGAGATATTTTCACTTGGCCACAGGACAAGTTTACGAAACGGATGTGCATCACACACCGCTGTTGACGAAGGTCACCGGACATTAGCGTTTGAATGATACAGTCAGAATTAGTTGCGCCGAACCCATAACCGCAGTGCTCAAGATAACACCGCTCTTAACCGTAACCCCTTGGTAAGTTTCATACAGAGTTCATAACATTTCTATACTCTTCAGAAAGAAAGGATAATGTTGCTAATTTTGTTCCTATTGAAGTAACATCTGCTTTCGTGAAAGGCACTGGAGGCTGCGGACTATGGACTTCATTTTGGTACCAGATGTGGCCAGTCTATTTTAAGAAGCAAACCCCTCCAATATTTACCAAAAGGTACGAAAGCTGCTCTTAAGTAGACGAGCCATAAAGGCTAATTTTGAGCACATGTCAGACGATGTGGCACGTCACAGAGACACATACTAAAAGGAAAAACTGGTCCAGGAAAAAAAATGACAGTTGAGGATAGATTCCCACCGAAGAACGCTCCAGTTCATACGCTCTTCAGTATTGTGAAATACATTGCTCGCGTTTAGAATAACAATTTATTTGGCATTCTTGTGTTTGAAAACTCAAAATTCCATTTTTGACTGACAAAAGACCATGCGGTTTTTTCATTTTGGCTGATTTTTCCATCTGCTCAAAACGGGTTTTAAAAATGTTAAAAATTGAATTACGGGCAGACGGGTTGTGCAAACAAAACTTCAAAAAAGAAGAATTCTATCGTTTTAAATAAATGCACACTTTTTTTGCCGTGATTCTTTATTGATTGCACAAACCCTCGTGTACCCCCCAAGAGAAACCACGCATTTCTATTTCTCTTGCCAGTGAGGTACGGCAAATCCCCATAAGATGAAACAAATGCCATTAAAATACATCACCGTGAGCTTTGGCACGCGAGAGGCAGTCCCGACAGTTTAGGGACCCATCCTCTTTTATCTTCAAACATTTAAAGAACACCTTTACGCAACGTGTCCATCGGTCCCGCCTGTAAACAGCCACCGCAAGGACTGTTGTGCAAAGGCAAATCACCAGGCAGTGCTGCGGCGGGGTCCTCCTTGCGCTGTTTTACGGCAGGTGCGGAAAGAGTCTCATATGAAGGGTTAATCATCAGACGTATGCCAAATTTGGTTGGGGAAATAAAAAAGGGGGCAAAATTCTTCAAGCATTACAGTGTCCGGTGGCACACACTGCAGGCATACATTAAGCATCAAAACACATGCTGGCTTCAGCACGGACAAGGGGGCAGCCGAAAGGAATGAAGGTAGGGGAAAGCGAGGTGGGGGCAGGCGGGGGGGGGGGGGAGTAAAAGAAAGAAACAGAGAGAAGATGTGGAAAAATTAAAAGCAGAAAAGGCAAAAGCGACCAAAGTCAATTTATAGAAATTAATGTGGTGATAGGGGGCATGTGCCCTGAAGTGAAAAAAAGCATTGTCTTTACATTGTGTTCTGCTCAGGTTGCCGCTGAATTAACAATAACTTGGAATTGACTATAGAAAGATCCCCCGTGTAGCCTGAACAGACTGTAGGGAGCAAGTGCTGTTAGCGAGCACCTATGAAAGCCGGCACGGCACACGAGGGGGTGGGTGGCCAACAGCACGCCCGGCCGCCTTTGTCTCCCCAGTGGCAATGTTTACACACCAGACCAGATACTCATTTGAGGCTGGGTCGACCTAGGGGAGGCCCAGGACCGGTACTCATAGTCGTCACTGGTGTTGGCCTTGAGCGGGAATCGAATTCGGGCCGTCAGGTTCGTAGCGTAGCGCGTTAACCGCTACACACACACACTTGTCGACTGGATAAGGAAACCAAAAAACTAAATGGACCCCCGAAGGTTTAAACCGAAAGCAAAAACTGCAGCATACGAGGCTAAACCACGCGCAAAAAATATAAAGAAACAAACATTTAACGAATACGACGGGAATTCCCAATAAACTGCGGGGTGGGTGCCGGGGGGTGGTGGGTCGTGGGGAAGCAGTGTTCATTTGACATTTAGAAACACACATTTAGATTACTTCGATTAGTATCGGTCTGCTTTTCCACGTGATACGCCGCCATCGTTGAGCTATCATTTGTGGCCAGGTTGCTTCTGTAAAAGAAGCTAAACAGCCCAGCGGACCTTACCTGGTAATGTTTTCGAGATTCGCTTACCTTTCCTATACTCTGCACTCCTATCGTGTTCACGCACTCTTTGTTGTCGCAAATTTATGACCCCCCACCCCCTCCATCCCACCCCCTGAATGTACATCTGCGTGGAAAGAGCCCTCGTTTCTCTTCTTCGGATTTCCTCCGGCATGAATAAAGATCGTGATTCTGTTGAGAGAGGCGACGCGAGGAAGAGAATGGGAGAAGTGTGCACGAATAGAAGCGAGCTCAACAA